GGGGGGGGAGGGGGATCGGAGTCACGACAAGAAGAAGAAGAAGAAGAAGAAGAAGAAGAAGAAGAAGAAGAAGAAAAAGAAGAAGGTAAGAAGAAGGAAAGAACGAAGAGAAAGAAGAAGAAGAAGAAGATAATTGGAAGAAGAAGAAGAAGAAAAAAAAAATAATAATAAAAAAAGAAAATTGTCGTTGATTACTTATCTGCGCCGTGGAACAGCGACGACGACGACGAGGATGACGTGGCGCAACGACGAGCACGGCGACGACGATGACGTGGCGCGACGACGACGATTTTGACGATGACGATGATGACGTGGCACGGCGACGACGATGACGATGACGATGACGATGACGATGATGACGTGGCACGACGACGAAGCAGGGTGGGTCGGGCAGGTTCGAACCGCCCTGATACCAGTGTAACGAGCGCGAGGCTGAGGGAGACAGGGAGAGCCGAGGGAGAGGGAAGAGAGAGGGAGAGAGTGAGAGCACACACACACACTCACTCACTGGACACGACTGAGGGTCGGACGCAGACATGGTGGCAAGGATACAAAGTCAAAGTCTTGGATTCCGAATGCCGAAAACACAAGCAAGTCACACTGAGTATGAGTACAGCAGCTGAAACTGGTATGAGACTGGTTGCCCGTACTGTACGGGGAACCGGTATAAGTGTCGGTGACACGTACGGTACCAGGGGCATCTCTGCAAAAGCCCCGAGGGCAGAACTGAAAAATGCGGTATTTGAAAGTGGAGCATCGAATTGTAGTAAGGCGCCAGTTGTCCAAAATCCACCCGATCGTGCTGCTCACCGTATCCTGCCTCTTGTAGTAGGTCAATGGGTTGTTGTCCGTGACACATGTGAACCTACGACGCCCAAGGAGGAAGTGCCGCCATCGCTTGAGAGCCATCACGAACGCGAGCAGCTCCTTCTTCTTTGCATCACCAAGTGAATTGATGGGAGGCACTTTGTGGCTGAAATACTCCACAGGGTGCCAGTCGTCGCCGTCGTGTTGTTCCAAGACTGCCCCAATGCCATAGCCGGAAGCGTCGGTTGTCACTCTCGTTGGCAGGGTGGGGTCGTAGATGCTAAGGACGGGTGCCATGACCATGGCCGTCTTGAGTGCTTGGAATGACCGGCGTGCGTCATCATCGAACACGAATGGCACCTTTGGCGATTGTAATCTCATCATAGGTACAGCAATCCTTGAGTACCCGGTGATGAATCGCTGATAGTAGCCCGCCAACCCCATGAATGAACGGACGTCCGTGGTGTTGGTGGGCTCGGGCCATACGTGGATGGCCTCGATCTTGTCCGCAAGCGGACGGATGCCTTGCGGCGTCACATAATGTCCCAAGTACTCCAGCTCCTGCCGCGCGAATTCGCATTTGTCGCGGTTGGCTTTGTACTTGGCTTGTCGTAGCCGCTCCAAAACGGTGCGCAGGTGCTCCACATGCTCGTCCAAACTCCGACTGTACACCAAAATGTCGTCGAGGTAGATGAGTACGAATGTATCCACCATGTGTCGGAACTCCGTTGTCATAGCCGCTTGGAAAGTGGTTGGGGCATTCGTAAGGCCAAACGACATAACCAGCCATTCAAAATGTCTATATCGCGTCTTAAACGCGGTCTTGTAGCGGTCCTCCTACCGGATCTCGAGTTGGTGATATCCCGATTTGAGGTCTAGCTTGGAGAAGAACTTGGCGCCGCCCAGCCGTTCGAGGAGGTCGTCGATGCGTGGAAGAGGGCCGGCGTTCTTGACCGTTTGCGCGTTGAGCTTGCGATAATTGATGCACAACCGTAGATCCTTGTTCTTCTTCCGGACGAAGAGAACGGGAGCACCGTATGGCGAGGAGCTAGGCCGAATCCAACCTTTCTCAAGAAGGTCGTCGAGTTGTGCCCGTAGCACACTTAGCTCTTCCTCGCTCATTCGGTAGATGCAACCACGCGGAGGTACAGCTCCGTCCTCAAGAATAATCTCGTGGCGGATGGGCCGATCCGGTACTACTCCGTGCGGGCCTTTGAACACGTCACCGTAGGCGTCGAGAAGCTCGGTGATGCGTGGGTCCGAAGATGAGTCCGTCGATGAAGCGTCATGGGGCGGGAGGGCGTGGAGAAAACATACCCCCATCTCCTCGATGTCGTCTCTGACGATGGAAGCTCGCATGCTTGTGGCGGACACCACGTGGCAGCTGATCGAAGGGTGAGGAGGAGGCACCGTGCATTGGACTAGTACTCCGTTCCGATCACGAACGTGAACGGTGCGGCGGAAGAAGTTCACCGGGTGATCCTTGCTTCGCAGCCATGACATGCCCAAGATCATGTCGAATTTGGTGTCCAAAATATCAAAGGACACTGCCTCGCTTGCATGCGGGGCAAAGTACGCGGGGACGTCATCAATGCATCGGTCGATTGACTTGTGCGTGTGACCGTCTGCCAACGTGACTTGCGTAGGCTGGGACTTCCTCCGGACACGTGGGCCAAGGCCGGCGCGTACCATAAAGTCCTGGCTCATGTAGTTGCGAGATGCTCCGCAATCGATCAAAGCGATGCAGGTAGCCTCTCCGATCTGAATGCGTACATATCACAATGGTGCGTCAATGTCGTCGTACCGTTGTGTCCTGAACTCGCGGTCGATCTTCGCAATGTAATTGTGAATGTCGACAACCTCTACTCAGGCGTCCATCAACGGAGTGGGTACTGCAATGTGCAAGTAATCTCGCAATTGTGCGATGAGCACGTTGCAATGCGGTTTCGACAATCGACCGGTGGGGGGAACGGGCATTCACTGGAAGTTTGCGAACGTCAATGGGTCGAGCTCTTCAAGTCTTGACCATGACGTCGAATCCCCGACGATGGGTGGCGGCAAAGCTGCCGAATCGGTTGCCGATGGTGGTGAAACCGTGCATGCGGTAGATTGTTGCACGGAGAGCGGTTGGTCCAACGGTGGGACCAAGTGGACAGCATAGTCCTCGTAAGTGTACCGAGAACTTGCAACATTCGCATCCTCCCCAGATGTGTAGGAGGCCGCTAGCAAGGCGGCCGAATCTCGCGGAGTGAGAGGTGGAGTCGCCTCACCTCCCGTGCAACTCAGTTTTCCGAGTTGATGCGAGGCCGAACATCCTCCTTGCCTTGATCCGGGCATTGGGAGGTCTTGTGCTTGGTGCTGTTGCACCAATAGCAGCAGCTATAGCGGCCGCACCACTTGTATTCCGCCTCGGTCAAGTGAAACTTGACCCATGGTGCTGGCTGTCCGTTTCCGGCCGGCGATGCGGTTTTCGCCTTCCCATTTCCTCGGGACTTGTTGTTGCTTCGCGGCTGGACAGCAGCCACCTGATCTCCCTCACGTGACGCTTGGGTGGCTGCCGGGTCTTCCACAATGTTGTCCGATTGGACTGCAGCGACACACTGCGGTCGCGAACCAGTTTTCACCTTCTCCACATAGGTTGGCTGCCACGTTGACTTCTCGTGTGCAGCCGCCCTGTTTGTCTTGATGATCTCCCTCGCCTTGTTGATGATTTCGGCGAAGGTGTTGTACTGCTCGCAATCACCAAGCGCGAGGCTCAAAGCGCCGCATGACCGGTTGTAGAACTCCCGATGCAGATGCGGAAATGGCAAGTCCAGATCGGGCGTCGCCAGGATCTTCTGCCAATCCATGAGCCAATCACGTGTCACTGTGTTTCCTTGAGCCATCGTGAAGATGCGGTTGATGGCGAGCGCCGGGGCGTCGTCAACGATGAACCGCTTCTTCCATTCTTTTGTCAGATCCTCCCAGGAGACCTTCTTGTGTAGGTCGAAGACCTGGACGCCGTGGACGGTTGCCATATGGCTGAGCCAGATCTGGCATCCTCCCTTGGTGCTAACGAACAGTGCACCGATGAACTGATGTTCGGGGACCTCATGAATCCCCAACTCCGTTGTGAATCCTTACCACCAGACGACCGGGTCTTGATGTGTGTAGTCATCAAACTTCTCGATCCGGAACATCGGCATCTTGTAATGCTTCGCCGTGCTGGTGCTGCGATCGGGGTCAGACGACTGTTGTCGCTGTCTGATCTCGGTCTTCAAGGTGTCCAGCTGCTGGCTGATGGTGGCTGGCGCCGCGAAGGTGCTGATGTCACCTAGCATTGCCACTACGTGATCGATGCGTTCCTCCAATTGGCGGGCAGAGGGTGCACTGCTGGACTCGCCAGCCTCCGGTCTTGGTGCAGTTTGCTCCAAGTCCTGTACATGGCAATCAAGTGCCTGTGCTGCATCCTCGTGCTGAGCCTTGTGGTTCCGCACGGCCTGCTGGAGGTTCGCCAGCTCAGACTGCAGGTGGTCACAAGTGTAAACCAACCTGGTCATGAGTTCGGCCATGAATTCCTTATGCTGCTCCTCCGGTGTTGCGTTGTCGTGCTGCTCAGATGGTTCAAAGTGCCAAAACTTGAGCTTTTCAATGCTGGTGGCTTCATGCCACTGTAACAGATCCTGGGCCTCCTTGCGGCGTGCCTGGGTATCTGCTTYGGCTTCGGCTTGAAGCCGCTGCTTTTCAACTGTTGCCGCCGCTTCAGCCTGTAGGCGGGCAGCCTCGGCTGCCAGCTGGCGCTGTTCCTCAGCCTCGATCAGTGCGAGCTGAGCTTCGAAACGCTGTCGGTACTCGGCAATGGACTCATTGGCCAGTTGGCCTGGCATGCCCAGAGCTGAGCCCCTCATGGTGGCGGGGCACTGCTGACGTGGCACTGCTGATGTGGCACTGCTGACGTGGCACTGCTGATGTGGCACTGCTGACGTGGCACTGTTGCCGACATGGCACTGCTGACGTGGCACTGTTGCTGACGTGGCACTGCTGACGTGGCACTGTTGCTGACGTGGCACTGTACCAACCCGGGAATGCATGCAAAGGGGTGGGTGGGAGGGAAAACTCAGGTAGGTAACCAACCCAGCTATACTTTCCTCCCGGTCCTAATCAACAGACCAAAATAAATAAAAAATAAAAGAAGAAGATTACCCCCCCCTTTTTTTTTTTTTTTGTATGTCTGTTGATCTGTTATGAGTGAGGCATGTCAGAAGAGTACTATGAGCGAGATCTAGGCCATGTTCCGCAAAGTTTCGACTTTCACAAAAATGCGATCTTGAAAAAAAAAAATTGCGAAATAGAGTAGAGATGTGATTTTCATAAAAGAACTAAATCTAATTTCTGAGAATATGACAACCTCTTAATATGCCTAAAACGAAATGCTGATAGGCTTCGCAAGATTTCGGTTTTCAAAAAAAAATTTGCGAGATAGAATGGAGATTCGATTTTCAGAAGAGAATAGATCCGGTTTCCAAGAATGTGACCACCTCTATCATTATCCTATTATGCCTAGAAAACGAAACGTTAACAACTTAACATCAGAAATTTTCGGCTATGTATGCGAATATCAGAGAAACGAAATGCTACTATCAGGAATTTTCAGATAAAACGAAATGCGATTATCAGAAATTTTCAGATATTTGTTGCGTGAAAACGAAATACTAATATCAGAAATTTTCAGGTAAAACGAAATGCGATTATCAGAAATTTTCAGATATTTGTTGCGTGAAAACGAAATACCAATATCAGAAATTTTCAGGTAAAACGAAATGCGATTATCAGAAATTTTCAGATATTTGTTGCATGAAAACGAAATACCAATATCAGAAATTTTTATCAGAAATTTTCAGATATTTGTTGCGAGAGAAAAAAAATTCAGAGATTTGACGAAGTCCCACTTGATTTACTAATGAGTAATCAATAGATCAAGCAAGCTGGCTACTTGATTGAGCGGGTCCTCTGAATGAGAGGTCCGCTCCGCTACCAAACTGTTGCATACTGTAACGGTGCAGACCAGAACAAGAACTGACCTCTCTCACAAAGTACAAGATAGCGTAGCGGAAGACTTAGATACCAATGATCCGAACAATCAATATTGCAATGCAGCCCCGAACATACATCATCATCATCACTCCATGGTGTGAAGGGGCCTGGCGTTCACACAGGAAGAATGCGCCAGTCCCCAACCATACACAGACGAAGAAGATGGGGGTTAGACGAAGAAGAGGGGAAAATTGGAATGTCGTCAACACCAAGTCTTCGGCACAAGCCCAAATAGTCCCTCGTCAAAATGTCTGAATCCCAATGTCGAGTCTGGATCCAATGTCGTCAAGTCTCAAGTCACAACTCTCTCTCTCCGTCGTAGTCCGCCGATACTGAGAAGTCAGGTAGTGAGAGGGTGAAGAAGAGATGGTGGACTTAGAAGAGGACGAAGAAGAACTCTCTCTCTCTCTCAGTCCGGTACTAACCTGTGAAGCTGGCGCCTTGATGCAGGTACCTCAAAGATGGAGCTGGAGCTATGGCACCACAGGTAAGTCTCACTGGCCTCCGCCAGCCATCTCTCCCCAACACTACTACTACTACCTATTAGCGCCCAGCGCTGAAGACTACTGCTACTGCTACTAGCGCCCAGCGCTGAAGACTACTGCTACTGCTACTAGCGCCCAGCGCTGAAGACTACTGCTAGCCCTAAGCTGCTCCTGCAGCGCTCCTCCAGAGTGCTGCTGCCGAATCCTGAAGACTACTCCTGGCTCGGCCTCTACCTACCCGTGAAGTGCATGGGAACTCCCTATGTATTACTCGGCCTGCCTCCTGACTGCCTGCAGCTGCAGGGGGAGGCAGTCCAGGAGGCTGCTCTTGCCAATGCCAGGGCAAGCCAGGGGCTGGCGCTGCAGCTCCTGCTGAGGCTGGCGTGGGGAACAGGCCAAAATTAGCCTGTTCCCAAAACTCTGGTTTGTTGCCTGAGGTCTAGGGCAGGACGATCTTATGAGGGCCCGAAAGTGGCCCTCCGTTGCAGGCTGAAAAGACTCAGGGCCTGAACGGCCCTGTTATAGGCTGAAAACGAAATAGGGCCTGCAGGCCCTCGTTTTCAGTTTTCAGGCTGAAACAACATGGGGCCTGTAAGCCCTTATTTCTAGGCTTTTAGGCTGAGAATGCGGAACGGGCCCTGCAGGCCCGTGTGGCTACACAGTACGCCACAGCGATACAGGTGAAACCGTTTCAGCTTGCCGTATCTCCCTAGATGCACATCCTCTCGACCGCCAATTTCAAAAATACACATTTCTCACACTCACACACCTCGTTTCACCTCCCCAGATCACCTCACTTGAAGATGGCAGGATTCCGCTTCCCCACATTCACCAGCCTCCCAGAAGAAGATAGACAACAGTTTGCTCATAAGACACACCCGTTTGGAGCTCCAATACCAACTGCTATGTGACTGATTGAGAACGCAATTCAGCTGAGCATCAACATGTCCCCATAGACTACGATAAACATGTCATGATGACAAATCAGACTGGGAGAGGGATTCACACCAAACGAGGTTGAGATATGCAAAGTGAAAGTCCAACAACCAAGAAGAACTGAATATTATCAACTCAAAGTCGCTCACCACTCTCCAGCACAATCAGCATCACAAAAAGAAGCCAAGGATCACAACCAAGAGTAAACCACCTTGAACAAATTCAGAACACAGCTTCATCAAGCTTCTGGAGTCTCCCTCCTCCCTTCAGCATCAACCTTCACATTGCTGGCTATGGCGATCAGCCCCATTCACTCCACCCAGCCCTATTAACCTGCACTCCTCCCTCCAGCATCAACCTCCACATTGCCGGCTATGGCGATCAGCCCGATCACTCCAACCGGCCCTATTAACCTGTAGACTACGAGAGCCTCCCTTCTGCTGTCTTAGCAGCACCAGCGCAGGCTATAATTCACTTAGATGCTCCAGCACTGAGTCAGGGACCTCCCAGAATAAACAGCGCCAGTACCAGGATGAAGAAGGAACCTCCAGATTGAAGAAGAAACACAGCTGCCACGAAGAAGAAGATATGGCAGCGCCCGACCCGCCCAAAGCACACATATGCTGCCAGCAGGCTCAGCAGATGAAGCACCAGCTTCCCAGCTGCCCAAAACCCTAGCAGCAGCTGCCCAGCTACAGCCCAGCTCCAGCAGCCTGGCGGTGTTGACAAGAGCACTAAACAACTCCTCCAGCAAACACCTCTAACCCTTCGGGCCCGTCCTATTTATAGTTCTACTGTAACCTACTGGAATGGACTGCCAGGACCTAAAACCAACAAACAGTTATGGGTCTGTGTTTTCCAGTAACAACGGTACCGATCTGAGGCAGCAATAGAGCAATAGGGCAACAGTTCGTTTGGGCCTGAAACGAAGTTTAGGGCCAGCAGTACCCATTTAGCAGTAGTTTAGGGATTGTGCAAAAAGTCCCTGTCGGTTTAGGCCTGTATCAGTTACCGGTTAGGACCCAAAACTCAGAAAAAGCAGAAAATTGTCCTAGTTGGTCTTACAGCCCGCTAAGAAACTGCGAGAACATTCCATGCCTCTCTCTCTCCTACTCTACCCTCAGGGGCCTCACTCACTCACTCTCTGAATATCTTGCCTCTCACTCACTCTGGCTCTCAACTACCAACTATGGCACCGGTGCTGTTGAATCCTCTGCTTGACAGCCCTTCAGTCTCACTGCTGCTGGGTAGCATAAGACTGCGAGAGCACTTTGCAGCAAACTCGAATGGAACATTGTGTTGATGTTTGGCTGCCTCTGGACTTCTGGACTTGCTGCAGTTTCCAGTCATGGGCTTTCTGGTGTCGGCACCTTTCCCTGCGGCCATGGTCGGCCTCTGGTGCTTCTGGAGTTTCCGCAGGGTTCCCTGGAAGTGAGCTGTGCCAAAAACTGACATTAGTGACAGTTCTTACCAGTTTCTAGCAACTTCACTCCCGTATGTACCTACAGGTCCACTGACTTATTGTACGGCCTAGACATATAATTCCTTCCAACCTATCGTACATGGGACACCAGAACTTCGAATTGGGATGGAGCTCTGGAACGTGGGAAATCCTTTTGGCTGCATGACATGCATTGAAATACCATCAAGCTTCTTTGAAGAGCATTATAAAGGTAGAATTGGGTTGATCATCCCTTAATTTATGTGTGGTAATTCAAAATGTCTGAGACTCTTGTCAGGTGCAGAAATTGGCCTAACATGGAATTTCTTCATGGCAGGAACAAATGGATGGAAAGTTATCTCGTCACCCACCATCGCTGGGTTGGCAAGGTTCAGCCATAGCATGGTAGCCTCCGAGAATCTCAAGAAAATGGTGGTGTTCGGTGGTTTTAATGGAACAGACTGCACAAACGATCTTTGGACTTTCGACCTTAGTAAGTTCTTACTACCCATGACAATGACAGGTCTCAAGTCTCAGGATGATTTGTTAGAATGATGAACTGTAATGACCTGACCAAACACGGACTAAGACACAGCTGATTGCTGAGTTTTGCTCGCGGAATGAATGCCTTGCTGAGTTTCCCGCTTGTTACTGAGTTCTCTAAGTCTGTGTGTGTGTGCACACTCGCTGGTCTGCATGCCTGTCTGAGTGCTTGTCGGGCTTGAGTCCGTGTGTGACTCGCAAGGGCACTTGTTCGTTCAGTGTGCCGGAAGGGTCCGTACTTACCAGTGGCCGAGACATTGAGGATTGCAGCGGGGAAAAACACTCAAGTGGTGGGGAAAGAGGCCCACGACACTTGAAGCAACGGAAAACACTCAAGTAGCAGGTAGGCCGGTACCACACCAGCTAGAGGTAGATGTGCCGGGTACTCAAGGCCAAGCAGAAGAAGACAAATGTTGGCAGTTTTAGAGGCCCAGTAGTTGTAGGCTAGGTCTAGGTGGGTACCAGTCCAACCAGTCTGAGTCTAGGGCCTGTACAGGCAATATCAGAGTCTGCAATTATGTTTCCCTCCGAAAGGGAGGAGGTACCGGTTGCTTGGAGGTTGCGCGGCCTAGGAAGTCACTCGCCAAGAGGCAAGCAGGCCGCTATATCTCCAGGAGGAGCCAGTTGCTCCTCCTCATT